ATTACAGACGGCTATACAACAGACGATGTTATACTATTATGGAAAGAGGGGGACCCTGTTCAAGTAAATAACCATGTTTATCACAGATTTTAAAGACATTAAGCTAAAACATATTTGACTTGTGTGTGAGAGAGAGAGAGAGAGAGAGAGATCACTCACAACTGGCCATTGTCCATGAACAGACTTGTAAGTCAACCGGGTAATATTTGAGGTCCATTGGACAGCTAAGAGTAGTTGTCATACGCTGGGAAAACAATACATTTCCATTTGAATATATACGGATCAATAGATTAGGCACGAGATCTGTATGCGATTCAGTGGACAGGGAGTTGGAGAAGAAGACGTCGGGAATCCATATGCGGGTCATGTCGTTGAGGACCAGGTATCTGATCTGACCGTTCAAGTCGTCAAACTTAAGCCTCGGGTCCTGCCATTGGAGTCTGAATGTGATCTGCATTTTGTAAGTCATGGTCTGTGTGTCGATGTATTGAATGCCCCGGATATAGGAGTTGGTCCGCACCACCACCGGACCACTAGTTTTGGTCGACTCGTTGTACTGTCGAGGAATGATTCTCATGTCATACACATTCTTGTTGAGTATTGTGTCCAGGATCTCTTTTTCCGTTTTATATATATCACTTTAAGCGATACAATAGCAACAAATATCATATTAAATTTATTTTCATTTATTATTATTTAAAAGTAAATTATAGTATCGATTCATGTAGGTTTATGTAATATATACAGTATTTATTATATTTTAACAATTTTACACATTCAATATATATAATAAGTTACTACGTTAGTTTAATTTTAATTATAAACCTACATAAATAAATCAATTAAAACATATCTCACCCGAAAACTTGTGTAACAAATAACGGCAATATAATTAAAACTAAACTAAACTTCATTTTTAAATTGTATGAAAATTTATGCTTAAAACTATTTCTAGTGTTAGTAATATCTAATTTGACTATTAAATATATATTTTAAGTCATTTTAAGAGATTTTTATAACCTTCAATTCAATTTTGCAAAGCTTTTTGTAAACAATTTTGAGAATTTCTTATATAATTGTAATGAAAAAATTAATTTTAATAAATGATTTATAGCTATTTATAACCATATTTGTTACTGATACATACACTGTTATACACCACGACACACAAATGACTGTCCAAGGTTGATCATCAATAGATTTATATTAGGAAATGCCTTTAATTAGTGGAGACAAAAATATTTTTATTTAAAATGTTTGTTATTATCAATACTTTCATAAATAATCAATAATTTTTTAAAAACATTTATCATTTGTATAAAAATTCTCAAATGATTTATTATTTTAAAAAATATAATTACCTATCAATAACTAAATATTAATATATTTTACAGTTTTACGGTATAATAACAATATTAACAATATATGACACTCAAAGCTAAGGTAAATAAAAAAAATTATACATTGCTCACATAATTTAATGAATATATTTTTATAATAAATTACTTTATAGCAATGTCAAACTGTTATTTAATATAATTTTGATTGATTTAAAAATATGTCGCTTAACGTATAAATTAAAGCAAAACAAAATATCATCAAAAATAATATTAATGTTGATAACTATTAGTTTGTTAGTGACTTTACTTTCATAAATGAGTGTATTTTTATAAAACTTATAAAAATACTGCAAACTTTTTAATGATTTATAATCCCAAACCACTTTCCCGGTGCTCTCACTCACCAAACAAAAAGTTATTTTAATGGCAAAAGTCTATAAGTTTTGTGATATTTGCGATCATTTATTTTTATTTAAAGACTTTGTGTGCAAATAGAGAAAAAACTATTAAAACTAACAGACAGAGTAACAAAAACTTTTTTATATATTACATACACTCTTAATACAGTATATATTACTTATGAAATTACATTAATTTTTTTGCTCGCTGTAAACTTAATGGTATTAAACTTTTTTTACGATTTTTGATACCATTTAATGTAGTAAATTGGGGGACAGGGAGTTAAAGATATACAAATATTTAATAAAAGCTACTACACTATCATCATACGACTAAACGATCAAATTGGGAATCATTTGATCAAAAACTATATTAAACAAAGAAAATGCAATTTTTTACTTTTATATCATTTTATTACCAGAAAAATGTCGTTTAAAAGTGAAAAAATTTAGACATTTTTTACACCAATTTATTGTCCAAAAAACTTTGAACTTATTTTTCTCGAAACAATTTTATTGCACTAATTATTTGGTTTGAAATGTTTCTCTCGAAAGTCTCTCCATATAAGTGGAAATCAATAAAAATTAATTGAAAGTAAAACTCAAGTATTTTTATAGGGTTTTAGAGAATTATTATTAAATTGAGAGAAATTCTCTCCAAATAAAACAAAATTTTACCCAAAAATGTGAGAAAATATTTATCACAATAAATATAAAGAAAAGGAGAAATATTTTTATAGTTATTTAAGTCATCTTTCAAACAAACAGTGAAAACATTAAAAACTGCGGACAAAGATAAATAAAATAAAATGAATGCTCGGGAAAAGTAATCTATAATTCTGGCAAATAAATAAAACAAATTATGATAAATGTTTGCATATTTATAACATTAATATAAATTGAAATCAATATAATATACAGTAGATTATCGGTACTATGAACGTGATTATTATTTTAATAATCGGCAACATATTTAAAAATTGACAAAATTTAATGAATAATAATGAAATTTTTAAAATTAAATAACTTGTTAATAATAAGTTAAAAACAGTGTTACTAGAAAATAAATAAATCTTTATACAAATATTTTGTATAAACTGAACAAAATGTGAGAGAAACATGAAATATTTGTATAGTCATAGAAATATTTATGTGTGTATAATACATAATAATAAAACACATATTGAAAGCGTATTTAACAATGTTATGGATTACAAGATTACACACAATATTAGCATAACTTATATAATAGCCGTTCCACTAGTTTTTCAGTAATGAAATGTCAGTTATAAATACGGTGTCGAAGAATATATATGTATTTATATACAGACAAAGCCAGTGGTGATCACCAGTTGGATGAGAGAGAGAGAGAGAGAGAGAGAGAGAGCTGAGATGGGGCTGAGAAACAGCGGGAACTACATGATCGGCACGAACACAGCACCGGCACTGGCAGCCCAGACACACACCAATTGAATGCTGAATATTGACGATAAAAAATAGTTATATAACTTATATATCAGACTTTCTGATAGTTAGCTACACGTATCGCATACGGCAAGTGTAACTGACCTTAAAATCACTTGCGATGGCACTGGCAGCTCATCCGTGGCATCCATGGCATTGGGCTTAAGTGAGAGCACCCGGCAGTGCGACCAACGGCGCAGCCCTCCATCTCCATCGCAGGGATAATATTAAACTCATATTTATATACAAGTATTTTATATATAAATATATTGATGGCTCACAATAGGGATGCCTTTGAATATAAACAGAGTATAAAAAATTGATTGAAAAACAAATATTACTTTCAATGGCACTCTCATGCATTCACATACACTCTCAATCTCATGTATCTCCCGGTGCTCTCCACTCAAATACATCACATCATATATTTAAAGGGCTGACAAATATTGAATTTTTATATGCATACTGTATATTAGTGTATACTGTACTATGATAGTATATATTTTTTCGCTATCAAAATAAATAAAATAAAAATCTCTTCGTTTCGATCCACAATATACTCGTAGTGTTTCTCATGCTATGAATGCAAAAGTACTTCAAAAAACGATAATAAACTTAAATATTTTGGTGTGATTTGAATATTGAGATGAGTTATTATAAACCAGATTTGGGCGCTATTTTGATTTTTATTTATAAGGTCTCTCTCTCTCTCTCTCTCTCTCTCTCTCTCTCCGATTTAAACTTATTTTATATCCCATCAGACCATCAGATAATATAACACTTTTCCCATACAAACTCATATTATTTATATATAACCCTTATATAAAAGATTGCATTTTTATCTATGAATACAAACTTAATATTCAAATGACATTTTAAACGCCAAAATCGACTCCGATTTTTAGTATTTTTTATTTGTGAATATATAAAATAAATTTTGAAACCCATTTGAGGTTTGCGATAAACTTTTCACTATCAAACATACATTTTCTAGATTATGTTGAATATGTAATTCATTAATAAATAAATTAAATTTTGTTGTTTTTATACCAAATTCATGTTATATAATAAAATGAAAACTCATAAATATAATTATAATTATTTTTATCTCTAATTTTTGCCAAAATGAGTAAACATTTTTTTGGGCTCATATATTAAACATGCTACTTCTATGATGAATGAAATATAATACATTGAAATCATAATTAAAATCTGAGCTCAACTGAGATTTAAAGACCAGAATATAAGGGATTATGTTATTAACACTCATTAACATAAGTATGATATGTTTGGCAGTTATGAAACAAACAACTTTTGAATTATAATTATTATGCATTATTATATGCATTAATATTGATTTTTTATAAGAAATTTTCACTAAACTTATAAATTAGGCAGCAAACTTTCAAAGTAAATTGTTAAACTATTAATTATTATTATTAATTACGTAGAAATCAATGAAATGAAACATTTGGAAATTTTAATTATAAATATTGTCAACAACCAACTGGTTAATACATTTAATTAATATTATTATAAATATTTTTTTACAAATTAAGAAACCAACGTTAGATTTAAACTATATTTAAACAAAATGTTATCTAAATTACGGAGAGGTATGTATGTATTAAAAAAATAATTAATAATCCTTAAAAATATCAACGATTACCACAATCATATGTGATATTATCATATACTAGCTGAAGACCAAGAGTCAAATCATCGACCAAATACATCACGACCTAAACGCCATCAAAACATAAGCCATGAATTGACACAATTGATGAGAAATAGCTCACACAGTGTACCACCGCTTGAAATCCGTGGCCTCATAATGGAGAAGATTAATCCGATCGCCAACTATGAGGACAATATAAAGAAGCTCATGGGTGACCTGAGCCGGGTCTATGGTGCTGATGATCAGCCATGGCAGGACACTCAGTATATAAGTTGGTGTCAGTTGATCCGTTGTATCAATGGTAATCAAGATACCTTTCATACTATTAATTTTTGCGGGTGTTTTATATTTATGTTCAAAAGATATCTGGATCAAATTGATTTTAGTAAAGCATCAAATAGGCAACTGATCAGGTAACATGGAAAACTTTGTCATTTGGCATTTATGTCATTTTATATGCATTTAAATTTATAATTTAGTGAATGGCAACAGAAATATATGCTAGGTCAAAGTGAAGGCAAACATTATCTGGATAAATTGCTGGTTAAAACTCTGGACAATTGTGGAAAATATTTCAGTGATGATCAATATGTGCGACATGTGCTCAGTATTATCCAATGGACCGGTAGTTATTTGTCCAGAAATACCGATGATTGTAAGGTCAGGTAAAATAATATTATGTTAAATGTACCTGTACAGTATTCTAGAAATAAATAACTACAGTAGAACTGTCTGTTTGCACTTTTTTTTGACTTACTTACTGTATTTACTATTTTATGATTAGGAAAAACGACTGTCCATTTGAATTATTTCTCATATTTGTCGAAATCAACACCTCATTCAACCCCTTTGACCACAATATGGTGGATAATCCGGTACTAAAGTCGTTCAACAGTACCGGTGCCGAGCACTGGCACCTAATTAATAGGTTATGCGCTTGCAATGGGAAGTCTAGTTATTTGGATGCACTCCTCAACGACCAGTGTATGGACGTCCAGACGGCCACCGATCGGATTGTTGTCGAAATACACGGCTTATGGGAACTGATGTTCAGTTACGGTCAACAGCCCCGGGATCTCAATATACCATCGCTTGATAAGTACGTGGATCAAGTGATATACGCGCTTAAGGGGCACGTCTATTGGTTATTGGTTCATACAAAATATCAACAAATTATACCATGCTAATACCGTGTTAAACGGGGTTTATTCAGTTGTATGACTAATTAAACATTTTATTTAAAACATATTTTTAAATTAAACTTACATTATAATGTATGTTTCATTATTAATAAAATAAAAGTTATAATAATTTACTATTATGATTCAAATATTATAGACTAGTTGCTATAAAAATATTAAGTAAATAAATTTGATATGAATTGGAGACTAAAAATATATAAATATCATAAATGTAAATTTCATGAATAATTTTACTCAATATATAAATTATTTGTAAAAATTTTTGTATAGTTTTAAATCTATTTTTAAGTTCAATTATAATCCTG